AGGGTAATTAAATTTTGATTTTCACTTCAAGACAGAGCAGGCAGGATTATCCACGCCCCTTAAATCAGGAGACGGACGGTTTCCAGTTCAAAACTGGGAACTCGATGTGATTCCAGTCTCTTCGTGTTTTGCTGTCAGAGAGGATGGCTTTTGAAATGGTCCTTTGTGGCAAGCGCGGCCTAAGTTTTGGGAGAAATACTTAGGAGAGCTGTGTGCTGGGAAACCGGCAACTCTGCACTTGATTAATTTATAGGTGTAATTTAAGAGCCTGATTCTCCTCTGATCCTTGGGATGCGTGTTCATGGAGCCTGCAGACCTGAGGCCACTCTGCTTGGTGGACGTTTTTTATGGCCTTTGCCACGTCAGAGCACAAGTTGTAGATCTGTGAGGAGCAAACATATTATTATGTCCAGAGGAGAACTGGCATGTTATAAAGTTTCAGTGGCCAATTAACAAAGATTTATTCTTTGTCACTCAGGTATTTTCCCTCTCCCGATAATTACTTCTTGGAATGAAGCAAGCAGTGTTTGCCTCCTGCAGTCTTGAGTTGGGTTGGGACACCCAGCTACAGAGCAGGACTTGAGAGCGTCAGCCACGACGTTTGGCCTCTTAGGGGCTGAGTCTTCTGCTTTTGTAAAGTGGACTAATTTGGAGCACTTGAAAAAGGGGGCAAGAGCAGGAGTGAGAGAGAGAAAGTGAGGGGGAGAGGATGTATTTTTTAAACACTTCAGTCTGTGTTTACTACGCATTTATTTGGTGGAACCTCATTCCAGCAGTGCCGCCAACTGTTCCATGGGCCACAGCCGCACCCTCTCGGGCAGCTGTCCCTTCTGACTTGGTTTAGAACCCACACGGGGACCTCAGAATCACTATTTGAAAGGTACCCATCCTGTTCCATGTTGTGCGTCTGCAACCTGCTGAACTCAGGATATGTTTTTTAAAAACCACAATCAAAAATCAGAGGTTAGCAGCGTGTCACCTTTTCTGTTTTCCATATATTTATTTCACTCCCCACGTCCAAAGAAAAATCTGTTTTCTATAATATCTGAGCATTAAACATGCTATAGGAAAGCTGTGCCTAAAACTGTAAATCCTGAAGATGTGATTTTTGTTATCACATAGGAGAACAAGAGAGGAGCCAGTACTTGGCCTGATTCTTTCATCCAGAGATAACTCATTGACGAATTCTTTTTATATATCAGCTTGTGGCCAAGAACCCGAGTGATTCGTTTGCCCAAGGCCTGGGAAGGTTCTGGGAAGGTTTTGTGTGGAGAGGCGTCACCCCACTGCCCTCTTCACGCAGTGCCTGCCAGGCCCGGCCACAGGGGGCGCTGTCTGCACTGCCCAGCCTGCTTGCTCAGCTGCCATCTTTTTCCTGCCTTTGCCTTGGATTTTCAGAAGTGAGAACAGGAGTCAAAGTGCTGTCATCCACTTACAGGTCACCGTTCTTCAGAGTGTGACGGATACCCAGGGAAGACTGCTCACGAAGGCCTTGCAAAGGGGAGCCTGGCTTTTGCAACGCTGGCATCCTGGGACTCCTTCCAGGAGGTTTCAGGCCTTGTTCTCTGACTTGTTTAAGGGCAGGGAATAAGGTTGCAAAGGAAATCAAAGCCTGATGTGGAGAAACGAAATGTGAGGCCTACTGACTTTTAAAAAACATTTTAAATAACATTCTCTAAGGTTTCATTTGATACTGAAGGCAGCTGTAATAAGTTTTGGAAGACGGTGTACGGTTTCTATTACAGGACGATTCATTCCCCTTGCAGTTTTTGGGCCCAAAGTGAGAAAGGGCCGAGGGGGATTTGGAGGTGGTGGTTAAGAGGTTATTTTGTATAAGGTGAGAAAATTTGAAAAGATGAATTCAAGACTGCAAGTGGGGGAACATTTGGTATGCTGTAATTTGCAAATGTAATAATATGAAACCGTTGGGAAGGTGATGCTTTTTTTCTTTTTTTGTGAAAATAGTCCAGATAGCAACGGAATAACTTAATAACTCAAGTTCCCCAGCACGATGACCACAAGTAAAACAAGACCGCAGCTCTGTAGCGGGCCTGCCAGTGTTGCCCCAGTGACTAAGTTCCCTGTCGAAGGCTGGCGCAGGCCAGAGATGTTGGAACATGAAAGCACTCATTGTTCACGGGGCATCGTTATTTGGTATTACACGCACAGTGTTTGCTTTGAAACGATTTATTAGAAACAAGGATGCCTAAGAACAAGGACGTGGTTTGAAATTCATTTGATCTGGGTTATGACATTTCAGATTTTATACTGCCTTTGTTTCTAAGAATAACTGTTTTGGTCCACTGTAAATACTTAACCTTAAAACATGCAAACACATAAGCACACACGCGCAAAACTGGAAAACTGAGCCAGGGAATGAATTGATACCTGAAGTTCACTTCTCTATGGGAAGGAGTACAACTTCTTAATATTTGAGGTACGAAAAGAATCCAAACCAAACCTGCTGCCATCAAGTCGATTCCCATTCACAGCAAACCCCAGAGGGCAGAGTAGAACAGCCCCATAGGGTTTCCAAAGCTGCAATCTTTACGGAAGCCGACTGCCACATCTTTCTCCCACGGGGCGACTGGTGGGTTCAAACTGCCAGCCTTTCGGTTAGCAGCCAGGTGCTAGACCACTGCACCACCAGGGCTCCGTAAGGGGGTCTGTTTTGTGAGTGTGGCTGGCAGTATCCAACCCAGAAGATGGCTTTCCTTTGCTCTGCTCACTCTTTTGGTAGGAGGGCTGGTGGGGATCGAGGAGCAAGAGTGTGTGTGTGTATGTGTGTGTACGTACACTTCACTGTATCCTTCCCTTGGGGGTGGGGCTAGCACGGTTAAACCAGACCTTACTCACTGCCAGCTACAAGCAGGTACCGAGCGGGAGGCTCTCCATGACCCGTCTGTGGGGTGGTGTATCAGCCAAAGAGTGAGGATTTCTGGTGATGCTTCAACGGCATCCCAGCTTTGAGGTTTGCTACCCGTAAAAAACTAGGAGTCTGGATTCTTTACTCAGCCTACATGGGTGATACTGGGGCAAATGAATGACTTCTTTGGGGGCTCTGAAATTCTTATCTTTATAATGTGAAAATGTAGGTGTTTGTGAAGTGATGGGTGATTCCAGAATGAAATATGCTAAGGGGAACCACTAGCTCTTTTTTTCTTTCTTTTTTGAAGTTTTTAAAGAGCAGCAACAGGCTTATGCAGTAAAGCCAATTTACACATGGTCTGGCTCTTGTCCAACAAATTCCACGAAATGACATAAAGGACATTTTAATCTGGAAGGCCCCGGTAGAGAAAGGCTTAGGTATCTGTCGTCCTTTGCTGTTTCCAGCCCAATGCATGGGGACACTCAGGTGCAGCATGGAGATCTGTTTGTTAGGCCAGCTGGGTTCTCCTCATTTCCCTAGACCATTTTGTAAGCTGGAGGTTAAAGGCAGTGGTACCTTCAGTTGGGGCAGGGAGATAGGGAGAACAGCTATATTTGGGAATGGGTCAGTGATTGGGTTTTGTGTGGCTCTTGATGGACTCACCACGTAGGAAGATTCCAGTAAGTTTGTAAGGATAGTGCCTTTGTGTATAAGACACAGCAGGCTGGTCTGTTAATTCTTTGAAGAGCCGTGTGTGTAGTTGCTAGCACACCTTCACTGAGTTGCCTCTGTAGGATTTCGTCAGAGACCACCTCTTAACTGCAGAGCAGCCTTTCCAGGCTTAAGACAAGAGGTGATGTCTTTTATCGAGAACTTTTCTCTAGAGGGAGAGGCAAGTGAGGGCTGAGAAGTGATCCACGGTACCTACTTTAAGACAGACTACAACATTGCCAGGATTTAGGGAGTGGTGTTGCCAGGTATTTATTTTAGTGCACATCTGAATAAGCTAAGGAGTGTCTATGTGTGCATCTAGTACCTGGTGTTCCATAAATCTGTTGTGGTTGAGTCAGTTCTGACTCATGGTGACCACATGTGTCACAGAGAAGAACTGCTCCATAGAGTTTTCTTGGCTGTAATCTTTACAGAAGCAGATCACTAGGCCTTTCTTTTGTAGAGCCGCTCGGTGGGTTTGAACCACCAATCTTTAGGTTCTAGCCAAGAGCAAACCATTTGTGCCACCCAGGGACCTTGGTGTACTGTTTTTGTGTGCCATCGAGTCAAATTCTGGCTCATGGTGACCTTATATAACAGAGTAGAATTGCCCCATAGGGTTTCCTAGGCTGTAATCTTTATAGTAACAGACTACCAAGTCTTTTCTCCCATGGAGAGCCTGGTGGGTTCGAACCGCCAACCTTTTGGTTAACAGTGGATCACTTAACCATTGCACCACGAGGGTTCCTGGGTGTACACTAGCGTTTAATAGATATCAGATAAATAAACGAATGAATTAAAAAAATGAACTGGTGAATGGAATAAACTCCATGGTAAAGAGATGCATCCAAGTTGTTAGTTTGGTCCGTGTGTAACTTTGGCCATTTGCTTTTAGTTTATGTACTTTTTTCTAAACATCCGTAGGTCTCCTCAGAGCGTCTTAGGAAAGTACAGGGAGACGCTGTTCTTGTAGGAGCCATTTTTGTTATCCAGGGTGACCTTAAAGTTAGTTGTGTCCATTGCCTATGGTGCTAGGAAGGTTAGCATGAGTTTTTGATATTATTCTAAATGGAAGGGTGAAGAAATCCCCACTCCACCATTTGTCTGTTAGGTCGTCAAAATAAGTCTTTCCCTTGTTCATTAGGTGGCCATGGACAACCGCCAACTTGGGATATATAAGTCCGTTTCTCAATTTTCGAAATAAGTCTCTTTTTACAAGGGTAGCGCTCCAGCAGTCTCCTTTGAAGTTGCTGTTATGCATTGGGCCGTGGTGTTATTTCTAAGGAGTCAGCCAGCAGACTGGAGGCCTTTTTGGCTTGAGTTCACTGACAGCCTTCTGGACAACATAACTCATTTATTCGTCTCTTCCCCCTCCCCTGCCACCCATCTCTGCTCTCCCTTTCTCCCCTGTCTCCATCAGAACGGTCCCCACACCGGCCCATCCTCCAAGCTGGACTGCCGGCAAATGCCTCCACTGTGGTCGGGGGCGACGTGGAATTTGTCTGCAAAGTGTACAGCGATGCCCAGCCCCACATCCAGTGGATCAAGCATGTCGAAAAGAACGGCAGCAAATACGGGCCCGACGGGCTGCCCTACCTTAAGGTTCTCAAGGTGAGGACTTTCTGAATTCGAAGGAAGCCACGACTGGGGTCTCCTCAGTAGGTGTGGCCACACCTTCTTTGAGTTCCTGCTGAATTTTGAGAGGAGATGACTCTCTTTGATTGGTCAGTAGAGTATGTTGTGGAATTAGCAGATCATTATGCCTGCTGATCAAATTCCAGAAGAGAACTGTGGGGCAATGGAAGGCATAGTAGACTTGGCGTCAGAATTGTTCAGCTACTTATCAGCCCTGAGATCTTCGACGAGACATTTAGGCTTAGCTGCACATGTATAAAAGCAGAATAATGATCCTATCTCCCTTACAGGGCAGTTATGTGGAATAAATGGGATGGAGTACATGAGAAAGCTTTGTAAATGCTGGGCGTTGTACCAATGTTTATTGTTGCTCTGATGTTGTTTTTGGTTAATATGACATTAGCATCAAATTTTAGTAGCCACCTGTAGAAACTACTTAGATTTTCGTTTTTTAAAAAAAATCGCTTAACTTTTGAAGTTTATTCCCACTTAGTTTAGGCAATATATGTGAGGAAAGGTTCTGTGCTAGTGAAATCTTGAACAAGGAAATTTTCTTTGCCCTTGTATTTCTTGTTGGGCTCCTTGGAAATCCCCATTTTAGTGGCATCAGCCTCTCTCTCTTTTTTTTTTCCCCAAGCCAACTTGCTCTTCAAGACGATGATATCAAGCAGAAGCTGTTTCTGTATATTAGTTTTTAGCCCTGTCAGTGTCTCCCACATGTAGTTGCTCATAGAGAATGGCCTTAGAAAGAACAGTCTCCCAGTGGAATCATAGGTAGCTCAACTGAGAACTCGTCAACCAACGAGGTGTTGTCTCCAGCTAATAATTTTTTTTTGGTCCAAAAAGCTGGAAAAAGTTAACCAGCATGGGGAACTATCAGCCTGTTCTGCCCTGATCATACCCTTCCACCCCTTTCCATGGGTCACTTCCATTGTTTTCCCCCAGTTGCCGCCTTATGTTCTTTTTAAACCCACAGCCCTTTACTGCTGCCGTTTAGACGTCATGGAGGTTATTTTCTTGTGATGTGTCGGTGGTGGGGCCATAGATAGTATGACGTCCTTCTTGGTGGGCCTTTAAATTGTTCTCCTGTGTCTGTTCCAGCACTCGGGAATAAATAGTTCCAATGCAGAAGTGCTGGCTCTGTTCAATGTGACTGAGGCGGATGCTGGGGAGTATATATGTAAGGTCTCCAATTATATAGGGCAGGCCAACCAGTCTGCCTGGCTCACTGTCCTGCCAAAACAGCAAGGTAACAACGTTTTTGTTTTTGTTTATTTTTGTTAATTTTTTTTTTTTTTTTTTAAGAAAGCTGAATATAGAAGCTGAAAAGACTTGGTGCTTTGGGAGACTGCAGGCAGCTTATAGGATAACTCTGGTGGCCTTGGTATATTTGTAATCATCTTTCTTTGGTGATGCGGCTGGCGTGATACCAGCAGCCATGGAAAAATGCCCACAATGTTCAAAGTGTTTGCTCTCGTTTCTTATAAAGATAATGCTCCACTTCCACCCAGTTTATAAGTCGTTCCTTCTGGTTTATCAAGGAGCCCTGGTGGCTCAGTGGCTAAGTGCTCGGCTGCTAACCGAAAGGTCGGCAGTTCAAACCTACCAGCCGCTCCGTGGAAGAAAAGACCTGGTGATCTGCTCCAGTAAAGCTTTGGAAACCCTATGGGGGCAGTTCTACTCTGTCCTCTAGGGTCACTGTGAGTCGGAATTGACCCAGTGGCAATGGGTTCTGGTTTATCTTGTTTGGGCTGCATGTTTCCCACCATTACTGCACACGAACACCATTTTAAATGTACACCTACGTGCCGATTGAATTCTTGGCATTTACCTATCAGCAGAGTTCATGCCTACTTCAACCCCAGATTTTTAGAGAAATACTGGCATGATAGAATTTGTCCAGCAAAGCAGCATTCCTTGGTTGCATAACTAATACTTAGGAGATACTGTCCTTGACCTTGCTATCTCAGATTTGAGGGTAGTTCATGTTAATAAATAAATACACTGCTGGGTGCTATTGAAGGCAGAAGGTTGACTTTCATGGTTTGTCATAACATGTATTCAAATGTTTATGTTAAAAAAAAAAACAGAACAAACAGCCCAGTTTTGTTCCTACCAAGGCCATAGTTTCTTCTGTTTTCTTTGAATCCTCTGTAAGTCAGGATGGTTATGCAAGAGTAGAAATAACCAGAGCCTGGTAGCCAAGACCACCTTCTGCCCTGGTTGGTTTCCCCAGGGTCAGGAGGTCCTGCAAGGGCTCCACATGGGCTTATCTTCCGTGTTTTGCTTTACAGCACAACCATTTAGACAGCCCTCACTCCCCTACCCCATTTTTCAAGGTGGGAGTCTGCAGCCAATAGGACCAGAACCCAACTTAGCCTTTTGGGTGCTACACGTTTGGAAAACCAGCCCTAGATCCAAAAACCAAGAGAAGGCAACGAAAATGAATGTCTGTGGGTTGATTTTTCCATGCATTTGATCGCATGCGTGTCTAGGAGGTGAAGCCAGTGTGGTGACGGGCCGGTGGAGGTGAGCTGGTCAGTGTTGGTCCATGTCTCTCGTTGTGGGCTTTGTGGATGGGCTGCAGCCGGAGTCTCCTGGTGGTCCAGCACCCGCTGAGGCCCGTGGTGCGACGCCTCGGGGTTCCAGGCCCCCTCCACAATCATTTCTGTGTCGTCTAGCTTTTTCTCTTGCTTCCCTTGTTTTTTAGGCTGCCGGTGTTAACACCACGGACAAAGAGATTGAGGTTCTCTATATTCGGAATGTAACTTTTGAGGATGCTGGGGAATATACGTGCTTGGCGGGTAATTCTATTGGGATATCCTTTCACTCTGCATGGTTGACAGTTCTGCCAGGTATATACCGCTCTTTCTCTCCATGGTTTTTCCCTTTTCTTGGTTGATTGCTATAAAATTAACACAGCTTCTGTTCTCAGAAATGGCCCTTTTTATCCTTGCATAATAATAAAGAAGAAAAAAGATGTTTAAAATGATCCCCGAGGGATAAGAAAGTTGCCTTGGAAATTCACTTATGGTGTGATCCCATCCTCAAATTTATGATTAAGTAAAATTTCACCCTTGAAACCCAAAGGGATCCTCTCGTATGTTTAGCGAGTCATTGAGTCAATGTATAAATTGGTGAGTCATTGAGTCAATGTATAAATCCCTTGTCTCTTAAGGAAGAAGTTGAAATTGCTTTGTACACATCAAAGTAATTTTTTCTCACTCCAAATTCCGTTTTTAACTAAAATCCCTTATCTCTTTGTGTCAGTTGTGCCTCACTTTCTGTTTTTAACGCGATGTAAATTGATGGCGATGTGTGGAGATGCCTGGTGAAGCACCTCTCCTGCAGGTGTACAGAAGCAGTGTGTTACCTTCCTTGGGAATCGGGTGGCTCATCGCATGTTGCCATAGAGTGGCGTCTCAGTTTGCTTTTACTGCAAAGCATGCTCCTGCCATCTTGGGCTTGATGTTATTTCTGCCCTACAGAGAAATCAACATCAGAGAAGCTCTATTGCCTAAACATGGCTGCCTCTGAATCTTTAATCAGTGTCTCTGTCCTAGTGAAACTTTCTTGATAATCACTCTCTGCTCTGATTTGTCTGCCTCTTTGCCATTTTCTTTGTGAGACTGCATAGACCATGGTTTGCCTGCATAGCCTGTGGTTTGCTAGCTCTGATGTTCCACTCCAGTTATTAATTCCTTATTTTTAGAGTATGGTGCCTCCCTGCATGCTTATTTTATATCTAGTAAAATATAGTGATCATTTCATTTTGTGCTGTGCTGCTGAGAGTTTTGACTATCTTGCAAATATTTTTTCTGATTAAAATGTGTAAGCTTTAAGTAATACCATTGCATCTGTTTTTTTCTTTTGTTGTGAATCTGCACCGTAAATATTTGCTGTGAAACAGTTAGATGCCTCTTATGTTAAGCTTGCTTTTACTTGCAGTATTGCATTCTGCGAGTACCTGACTGGCACTTTTTAACCAATTTGCCTGAGAGTACTAGCACATTAACAAAGAATGCAGTTTAAGAAAAATACTACTTGGAAATACACTGCTTGTAGCTTGACCATTGAGAACTAAGGAGAAGGCATTATTGGAAGTTTATATAAGAATGTGCTAAATTAAGCAATTACATGTATACACACATGCCATTTACATTTTTTTTTCATTAAGAGAGAAGTCATAGTGACTTAGCAGTATAACCAGATGCATAAAAATATAAATGGTCATTGATTAAGGAATATTAGAAACTTTCTATATTACGAACATTATGAATTCCGTATTATAAACAATTCAGTTTTTGTATTGAATACATTTGTTTGTTTAATTGAATAATATGCTGGAGTATATTAAGAATTCAGAACTTTTTTGGACCAGCCTAGTGAATGGATATTTATTTCATTTCGTGTGGAAGTGTGTTCACCTGGGGTATTTCATCTTGTCACGTCTTCCCTTGGAAGAGCCTGTCCAAATAAGACTGAAACACTGTGTCTTCAGTAATAAAAGCGGACACGGTCCTACTCCAGCACTTTTAATTTGGTTGGCCTCAGAGATCTTCATGAGAGACTATCCTTTTGTTGTGGGTGTGGTCTGTTGTCCTGCTCCACCTCAATGTCTAACAGAATGTGGCCTGGTGTAACATGGTGGCAGCTGCTTACTGGATTGCAAATGCCCACTGAGACTAGCTACAGTGACTGCCGGGGCCTTGGTGGTAAAGTGAGAAGCCCTTGGTTATTCCCCTTTGTTGGGAAGAGGCACGTGGCAGGCCTGTGGTGCTGCCATCCCACACTGCACTGAGTGACTGGGAAGCCTGTCTTGTTTTGGGCATTGGTCATCTCCTCGTGATTCCTGTAGTTGTGGTAAGAGGCGTCAGTCCAGCATCCTAACTCTGTGGCCTGCTTATCTTCCCCCACCCTGTGATCTGCAATCCAGCTCCCGTGAGAGAAAAGGACATTACCGCTTCCCCAGACTACCTGGAGATAGCCATTTACTGCATAGGGGTCTTCTTAATTGCCTGTATGGTGGTGACGGTCATCCTGTGCCGGATGAAGACAACGACCAAGAAGCCGGACTTTAGCAGCCAGCCGGCTGTGCACAAGCTGACCAAGCGCATCCCTCTGCGGAGACAGGTAACAGAAAGTAGATAAAGAGTTTAAAGGAGTTTACCCCTTCCCCATGACCGAGCCAGCTCTGAGAACGTCTCCTCTGCTTGGATTTGATCTGTGTGAGCTTTGAGACACAAGTGGCTTCAGTGTGCTGCTTGGGTGGCAGTCCAGTGAGTGTTAGGAGCTTGCAAAGTCAAGTCTTAGTGCATTGCTGTGATCAACCTGAGTCTAGCTCCATGAGCAAGAAAGACGAGGTGTGAGAATCAGAGAGTTCATCAGCAGGACTGGAAATGCCTCTGTGTGCGTTGGATGAAGCTCGAATCCAGTGGGTCTCTTGGTACCATGGACTGCTTTTGTCTCCTGAGACCTAATCCTTTTTTTTCAAGACAGGCATGAATATCCAGATGGGGTTTGTGCCACTAGTATATAGGGCAGAGACTCCAGCTCTCTTGACTTATTTTTTTAAATCAAGGTCAGAAACCTGCACTCCAGAGATGAACCTGAACTACTGCTTAATTAAAACCGGTCCATGATGCATTTCTAAAAGTCTAAATTGAATTTTAGGTCAACCCCTCTAATTCTGAAAATAGAGTTTTATGCATATATTTTGTTGTCTGTCAGTAATTCACAGGTGTGGCTGTGGATTGGGGGATGGAATGACTTTTATATGGCGCTCTGGCAGCAGATTGTGTTTATAACCTTGGGCTTGGTCTTTGATGGTTACTGTTTGCTTGTGCGTGGCTCCTGATTGGTTTAGTTTTCCTTTGGGGAGATGGGGTCAGATAGAGCCTCCACTTGTGCCATAAGCCAAGCCCCTGCAAAGGTGAGTGGTGAGCTGTTTTGACTCTTTCCTCCTGAGAAGGGCCTTCGTGGAGATTGGATAGAAGGCAAGTGTGAATGCAAAGCCACCAAAGTGTTTGGAACTTGGTTCCGACAAAGCTGTTTTTTGGAAACGGCAAATAAAAATGGCTAACTCGCTGGCTGTATTTGAGTGTGTACTTAATAGACTTTACTAGATGCTTATAAAAATGGCAGATTCTTTAGTCCCAACGCCAGAGATTCTGGTTTAGTAGGTCTGGGTGGGGTTGGGAATCTGCTTTTTAAACAAGTCCCCAGAGGATTCTAAAATGCACTTTGAGAAATACAGGGTTCATCCCAGTCTTGCCTCTCCTGAGACTTCAGGTGCAAATGACATTTTCTGGACAAGGCATTAGGAAGGATTAGGAACCAGCTGATCAGCCGTGGTCTTGGCATGAATCCGGTTGTTCTCAACCAGCTCCAAAACCTGGTCTGAATGGGTCCCTGTGTGTTTCCTTGAAGCCATGTTGCAGGCAGGTCTGTTTGCGTGAAGGGGGAGGAGAGGAGAGAATCTGGAGTGTGTGTCAGGTGCTGGTGATTGAACCAATTGTGCTCTAAGAGCAACGGAAAAAGGGATCATTGGTCACCCCTGTCACCAAGCATGCTGTTGTCATTTAAGATGACCCCACTGCTATTCCTGGAGCCATGATAGGGCCCATTTCTGGGAGACTCCAGTCTGGGAGAGTCCAGCCAGGTAGTGCTGCGACCTTCAGATGGTCCCCACCCCCTTCCCAGTTGCCTCTGGGCAGCATCCTTACGGCCACCGTCTAGCCCTAGGGAGCTGTAAAAGGGAGCGGTGTGTTCCTATTGCTATTATTTTTTTCTAGTAGGGAAAAATGCTGCTTGCTGGAGCAAACCTTAGCTAGGTTTAGCTAGGCCATTGTCCCTTAATCATTTCATTGTCCCCCCCCGCCCCCCGCCGCAACTGTTACAATGTTCTTTTTCCTTTCCCTTTTGTTTTTACAACACTATTTATTTCCAAAACTTTTAATCACCCTAAACAAACTCAGTACCCCTTAAGCAATAACTCCTCATCATTCCCCTCCCCCCAAGCACTAATCTACTTTTGGTCTCTATGCATTTGCCTCTTCTCTATATTTCATATAAATGGGATCATATCATATTTGCCCTTTTGGGTCTGACTTATTTCAGTCAGCAAACGTTTTCTGTTTTGCTTCTTTTTAATCTATTTGGAGAGTCACCACATGAGTTATTTGAAAAATAATATATAAATTTTAAAACTATAAAAGCGGCTAAAACAGAACGTCTTCGTGGATTAAAAATTTAGTATTATACAGATGTTAAGACTCCTTGAGCATTTTTTAAAACACAGTGCAATCCCAATCAAAATATTCATTTTAGAATTTCATAAAAGGATTCTAAAAGTATTTGGGGAAAGTCTATGAGAGTATAATCAGATCAGGAATATTCTGAAAAAGAAAATAAGGAAAGATTAGTTCAGCCGTAGAGCAATGGCTATTATAAAGCTCCAGTTAGAAACACAGCATGATGTTGGTGCAGAAATAAAAGATAAGCTAATAAAACCAAACATGGAAATTTAGTACATGATAAAGGTACTCTTTTAAGTCAGTTGCAAAAATGTGGATTATTCAATACAGCATAGTATTTTTAAGGTTCATCCATATTATAGCATGAACTTCATTTCACTTTATGGCTGAATAATATTCCACTATCTGCCTGGACTACATTTGGTTTATCCATTCATCTGTTGATGGACATTTGGGTTGTTTCCACCTCTGGCTGTTGGGAATAGTGCTGCAGTGAACATAGGTATACAAGGATCTGTTTAAGGCCCTGCTTTCACTTCTTTTGGGTACATACTCAAGAGTGAATCTTCTCTTTTTCTTGATATATGTGAGGCAGATGCCCCTAAAATCCCCTTGACCTCAGCCATGGTCATTGTGTTTTCCTTTCTCACTGGCCTCTGGCCTTTGTTCATCGTCCTTCTCCACTTAAGTCGGTCATTTTTCTCATACTCCCCCCATGTAATGGAGTGTTCCTTCCTTTCTTTCGTCCCTTTCTCTTCCCTCCCTTCTTCATGATTTATAATGTAATTCCATCATAATTTACTGAGTACTTTGTTTAAGCCAGGTTCCAGGTGAGGCGTGGCCCGTGACATTCTCCAGTGGCTCTGAGGGTATTTTGGGGCCATGGTTTGAAATATAACTGCCTTGTATTTCAGTAGAGTCAAAGAGTGCGAGAGAAACAGAGGGAAGTTGGCAAATACCCATTCCCCTGGGAAAATAAGTCTCTGAGAGATTAATTTATTTGGGGAAGGTTGACATACCAGCGCTCTTCATATATGTCCAAATGGGATGGCTTATTTGTTCTTCACAATGAGCGCCTCATCAGTAAGCACTGCCTCTTTGTTGGAGAAGGAGATGCCTATCGGGTACCTGGATAAAAGAGGGTTATTGGACAGTGACTGGAATGAAAAGCCCCAGAAAGGCCCGTAGATACGTTGATGACAGAGAAAATACCATAGGTATGCCAAGCATGCCTTTACCTGGCGATAGGTGAGCCTGTAATCAGATGTCTCATGCATGGGTTATTTGTAGGCATTTATGAGGCCACTTTTCATTCTGCATTGTCCCAGCCTTCCCTGTCACACAGGTAGCACTCAGCATCTTTATGATGGAGTCCGAATTTTATCTTCTTGGCCCTGACCCTCACCCTTCCCCGAGCACACACACACATGGCCTTTCATGCACTGTCAATCATTGTTCTCTTTCTAGAACAAGGGAGGCCGTTTTTGATTCAGTCATGAGTTTTTGCTTCTTGACATTTACTCATCTGCACTGGGTTTACTGGTTTAAGATGGACATTTCAGTGTGTGGTTGTTTTTGGAGATAAATATAGTTTTCTCCTGCACCAAAGGAGAAATTTTTTGTGATCATTTCCCAGTACTCATGAGTATTTTTGAGGCTTGGAGAAAGAGACAGAACTTTTTGGTGGAGGGAGAAGATGGCATGGATTTTCCTGTTTTCTTCAACAGGGGCTCATTCCTTGTTTTGCTGGGTCTTGGCGCCACGCTAGGCAATTGCCATCTATTTCTACTCCTTTGGCGCCCAGCGTGTTAAATGGGACCAGTAACAGCCAACTCGCAGGGGTACACCTTAGTGACCTTGTTGGTTCTTGTACAAGTTGCCATGGCTGCACCTGGACAGTCAAAGAGAGGGCTTTAACCAAAAACCAAACCAAACCCATTGCCGTCGAGTCAATTCTGACTCATAGCGACCGTATAAGACAGAGTAGAACTGCCCTGTAGGGTTTCCAAGGAGCAACTGGTGGATTCGAACTGCTGACCTTTTGGTTAGCAGTCAAGCTCTTAACCACTGCGCCACCAGGGCTCCAAAGATAGGACTGACTTTTCTGAATTTTCCACAAATCAGTTGGGGTAGGGGGATGGTGAGGAGGCAGAGGAAATGGAGGATGCTTGTTAAGGAGGCATGTGGAGTCACTGGGTTTGTGGAACAGGATTTTCAGCGAGTACACTGTGTTGTTCCTTTGGATCCAGAAGCTGCCATAGGGCAGGATGGAGGTTAACACCGTCTTCTGTGTTGGCTGCGTACAGATCCATCTCCTGGGTGGAGAGACACACAAGTGCATATGTGCTCACCCTCTTCCCCCAGAAGGTGCCACAGGTCTTTTTTCTCAGACTTCAGTTTTAACATCCCGGCCTTGGATACAGATAGATTGACACCTAGAGAAAAATCAAAGGCACTCGAGGTCATCTTTGATAACAGGGTCTTTGAGGCAGTGGCACGTTCCCGAGGACATCATGACCAGACAAAGATGAGGGGGACTTGGAGGAGTCACGAGCCAGGCCCTGGGGCCATGAATTAAGGACCACTAAACACATCTAATTTCAGGAAGGTAAGTCCCACTTCTAGAAGCCCGTTTACTACCTAGTGGGCTGAACATCATGATCTCAGAACATTCTCTGTGTTTTGGTCAATCAAATGGTCTAATGAAACCCCCACTGGTTCCAGAAAACATTTGGGTAATTGGAGTGGTCATGGATGGCTTCACTGGAATCTGTCCTTTCATGTGGCAGCTCACCCTCCCCTGCCCCCACTTTGTCCTTCTCTTCACTCCGCCTCATCTGATGGACACCGACTGCCTGGCCTGACTGAGACCCTCTA